TAGCTTGTCTCAGCTACTAGGGTGAGACCTGAGATACATGCAGTGTGGGTTTTCTTGAAACCATGAGCTGGACCAAATTCTAGTATTGCCTTGGACCTTGGAGACAGATGGAAAAAATTGGAATGTTACACCTGACCCCTAGACTCGATTATGATACTGCACTAGGTATCGAATTGGGCTGTTTTTGATGTGCCAATCAGTGAGATCCTTAGAGGGGGTCAAAACCTGGGTATGTTGGGACAGYTCGAGAATTCATCTGAGTGGGTGATCATAGTGACAGGATCAGCCCTTTGTCGGACAAAGCGAATGATCGGGGAAATGCACTCTCTCTGATGGAAACCTAAACTGCCGATAGTGGATTTTAAACATGTTTGAAATTTGTTTTTGCATAATATATTTATATAGAGATATACTTATATATTATGGTTTCACAAATTGTTTGCAAAAGGTTTTAATTCCTAGGATCCATGTGAATAGAGAGTAGAGCACTATACCTTGTAGCCAAGGGAGAGGTCCTCTCTTATCGGGCAGTGTTTAATCATTATGGGCTGAGAGGTTAAGTGTAAGACCATTGAGGGTTATACCTGATGGGCTAATCGTGCATCTGCCCACAGTCCTTGGGCCTTCATAAGATGGCTAGACCCAAGGACCATTTACTGTAAATGTTGGGCCCATTAAGAGCCCATAGTGATGGACTTAGGGGTTTACTGTTTTTAGCAGTGAATTCGGCTAGGCCTTGTAATGGAGTCTAGGCTGAACCCATGTGGCTGATGTGTAGATCAATGATAGGGTCCCACGCCATACAAAGAGAGCCAAGATAGCTAGCATTAAAAGGAAGTGAGTATGAAAGCTTAATGGGCCTAAAGCCCATTTTGAACTGGGTTAATTGGACTAATTAAATAGGGGTGAATTTGTGTATGGATCAGCAGATGTAGATAAGAGTCCTATCCACTTAAAGAGTCCAAATCCAAAGAAAGATTTGGATTAGGGAACTCCTAATTTGATTAGGAATGGATGATCTTGATCTACAGATAGGATAAGGGATTATCCTTCTCATTTAAAGAGTCCAGATCCAAATAATGATTTGGATCAGGAGACTCCTAATTAGATTAGGAGGTCATCTCTTTAAGGCTCTGAATAAAGAGCAGGGTGGATATGAAAATATACACATACACAACACAAAAGACAACTCAGTTTGACTGTTTCTGCCTTTAGTTCTTTTTCTCCCTGCTCTTGCCGCCCTACGTTGTTCGATCTCCATTTCTTGGAACTGATCAAGATTGGATCTTGATATTGTTTCTTGATAGAAGAAACAATTCTGAAACTGTGCTCACTACCCCATTTGATTCTTGCTAAAGAATCACAAGTTATTGGTGAAGAACTACCTGCTGATCCTGCCTCATCCTAAGCTGTGTCATTTTCAGTGGAGGGAGGATTGTACACTCTTTGGGCGTGAACACCTACATTGGGAGGAGCTTTTTGTGTGGATTCCATATCAGGTATATCCCTCCCTAATCTTGGTTTCAGATTTGATCCGGTTTGGTTACTAGAATGAACCTTGAAAATGTAGTTTTCTAAATTGGGAATAGGATTCTTGGATGGGGGTAAAGAAATTTTTGAAATTTTGCCCAACCTACCTGCATGGTTCGGCCATCCATATGATGGATCTCCGATCCCTTCAGAATTAAATTCTTGCACCTACCTTACTTCATTAACATTTACGCTTGGGGATGTAGTGCACCCGAGGACTACCCCCGAGACCTCGTCTACACCTTCCTATACCATGCACCTTGTACTAACTTGAGCATCGGGTCTTCACCCGAGGCTTCTAACATCTCTTGTTTTGCAGTACCTCGGATCTCCAAGGACCTCGTCCCCAAACCGACGACCTGTGGTCCTTGGCTTCTACCGTACTCAGAAGGGAGCATCCCGCCTCGTCCTACAGTCCTCAACCTCGTCTTACCCTCCGCTAAATCCTCAAAGCCTTTGGCTTGCCTTCGGAACTTGGGAGTGAATTTACCTTGTTGCCCTCGACTAATCGAAGCAACAACAATTGGCGCCGTCTATGCGAAGAACCAGGAACAAATAGAACCTGGTTACCTACAAGCAATTTCAGGCAGTCCTTGATCGTTTGGACCGCCTCACTCAGCGTGTAAAAGAAGTCTACCCCCGAGCAGGAGGTCCCTCTCATGGAAACCACCCCGCTGGGGTGTTAGAGGACCAGGGCCAACGCGAGCACGTTGAGCCCCCAACCCTCAGCCGGAGCAACAATCAACTAGCTAAACAATTGGAGTCTGGCAACAACTGACACCCTAAACCTCCTCGGAGGAATGTCCAAGCTCCCAGTCGAAGAGAAGAAGTGCCCGCACGGTCTGAAGACAGTCACCAGCCTTTGGAGCTGCATCACCGCCGCCGAAGGGAGATCTCCAGGGATGATGGCGGACACCTCGGCTACCCCAGAGTTTGCCCCCAGAGCGAGAGCCGGCATCATGCCCCTCCCCCTCCTATCTTGGATCTCTAGGACATTTTGAACGATCGTTGTGCCCATAGGGAGGCGCATGACCAGGCCTCAGAATACTCCGGAATCCGAGCTGATACCTACTGAGTCCGTGAAGATAGAAGGGGGGCCCATGCCCCTGCTGATCCAAGGCTTGCCTAGCTACGAACCAAGCTTGGGGCCATCAGAGGCGAGCTCCGCCAAGTCAAGGAGAGCCGAGCTAACGCCTCCACTAGTCACGACAATTCCGCCGGCCACATTGACGCATTCACCCCGGAAATCTTTTCAGAGTCTCTCCCCCCACACTTCAAGGCTCCTACTTTGGAGATGTACAACGGCTCCTTGGAACCCAACGACCACTTGGAAAGTTTCAGAGCGCTCATTATACTCTACGGGTATTCCGACACCTTGACGTGCCGGACTTTCTAGGCCACCTTCAAGGGGTAGCACATCACTGGTTCTCTAGCCTCCCCCCGGGGTCAATCAGTTCGTGGGAGTAGTTCTTCAACATGTTCCTCGCCCACTTCATTAGCAATAGACGGTGCTAGAAGAGCGTCGTCTTGCTCATGTCCATCAAGCAGAAATTAGGCGAAAGCTTGCGGTCTTACATCGACCGCTTCAAAAAAGAAGAGCTCGAGGTCACGGACCTCAACTCCATGGTCTCAATGCATGCCGCCATCAACGGGCTCCAAGTTGCCTCCGCCCTCAAGTGTTCGGATGCCAAGACCCCATCAAAGACAAAGCTGGAGTTCCTCAAAAAGGCCCAAAAGTACATTGCAACTGAAGAGGCTTTAGCCGAGGACCACCAGGAGGAGGCTGAGCATAGTGGTAGGCCCTCAGGGAAGAAAAGGAAGAATGAAGACCACCGAGGTGATGGCGGCAAAGATAATAGGAAGCCATCAGCCCTGGCAATGGCTTATAGCCAATATACGCCACTCAATTCCTCCCGGACCCAAATCCTGATGCCGATAGGCGAGGAGAAGTTCGTGAAGTGGCCAGAGAAGATGAAGGGGAACCCCAAGAGGGAGAACCCTAAAAAGTACTACAAGTTTCACCGTGGCGTCGACCACGACAACGAGGATTGCTATGAGTTGAATAACAAAATAGAGTCCCTCATCTTCCACGGGCATTTGAAGCAGTTCGTCGGAGGCGAAGCCGGTGCTTCATCCTCCCAGTAGTAGCAGTAGCAGCTATATCACCAACAGATCGCCGGAGTCATCGACGTCATCATCGAGGGCTCGGCCTCAGCCCGCAAGGCCTACGCTAGGCAGTTGGACATCCAAGGGCAGGCTCTCAATAGGCCAAAGCAGTAGGAAGACCTCTCCTTTACGTACGAGGACCTCAATGGGATTACAGTCCCCCATGACAATGCGCTGGTGATTTCGGTCATAGTAGCAAACTACCTAGTCAAGAGGATTCTCGTCGACAGTGGCTCCTCAGTAGACATCCTCTTCTATGTAGCTTTTGAAAAGATGAAGGTAGTCAGAGCGCCTCCAGCCCGTCGATGTCCCACTAGTCGGCTTCTCCGGCAATGTCGTTAGGATAGAAGGAAAGATCACTCTACCAATCATGGTAGGAACCAAGCCTCGGCAGGTGACGATGATGATGGAGTTCCTTGTCGTGAGGATCGACTCCCCCTACAACACAATCATGGGGAGACTGACCCTTCATGCGCTGTGAGCCATCTTGTCCTCCTACCACCTCGCCCTCAAATTCCCAACCGAGCACGGCATCAGAGTTGTTTGGGGGATCAGCATATCGCCCGCTAGTGCTATGTGGTAGCGCTGAAGGACAAGAATAAAGAAGCATTGCCACTTGGGGGCCTCGACCTCAGGGAGGAGCCAGCGAGCCGAGGCTAACCGGCTGAGGACCTCGTCTCGGTTCCCCTATATAAGGATGAGCCCGAGAAGATGGTCCGCGTCGGGTCCAACCTTCCCTCGGAGAGTCTATCTGAATTGGTAAGTTTCCTCAAAACTAATGTTGACGTCTTTGCTTGGTCTGCTGCAGACATGCCCGGAATTGACCCTATGGTCATTACTTACAGGCTGAGCATGGACCCGAGCTCTAGGCCAGTTTGGTAGAAGAAGAGGAACTTTGCACAAGCTACTTGACGCCAGATTCATTCGAGATGTATACTATCCTAACTGGCTGTTGAATGTAGTTTTGGTTAAGAAAGCTAATGGGAAATGGCAAATCTATATTGACTTCACAGACCATAACCGAGCTTGCCCCAAGGATAGTTTTCCTTTGCCAAGAATAGACCACCTTGTCGATGCCACTATAGGATATCAATTGCTCAACTTCATGGATGCCTTCTTCGGATACAATCAAATAACGATGCACCCAAAAGATGAAAAAAAGACCTCATTCGTCACTGAGCACGATACATACTGCTACAAGGTGATGTCCTTTGAGCTTAAAAATGCAGGAGCTATCTACCAGCGTCTTGTTAATAAAGTGTTTAAGAATCAAATGGGGAGGAACGTTGAAGCCTATGCAAATGATATGGTAGTGAAGAGCGTAAAAGCTAAAGCACACATCTTTGACCTGGTCAAGACCTTTGACACTTTGTGGAGGTTCAATATGAATCTAAATGCCAACAAGTGTGCCTTCGGCATTACCTTGCGCAAGTTCCTAGGCTTCATCATCTCTAAACGAGGCATTGAGGCCAACCCTAAGAAGATACGGGCCATACTAGACATGGCACCTCCTCAGTCGGTGAAGGAAATCTAGGAAGCTCTGGCCGAGTGGTAGTACTCAACCGCTTCTTGTCAAAGTCAGCTGACCGGTGTCTTCCCTTCTTCTGAGCCATCAAGAAACTAAAAGACTTCTAGTGGACAGAGGAATATCAGTGAGCTTTTGAAAAACTCAAGGAGTACCTTGCCTCACCTACCCTCCTACCCGCCGGGTCCCAGGAGAAACTCTATACTTGTACTTGTTAGCCGGGGACAAAGCAATAAGCTCAGTCCTAATCAAAGATGACAGAGCATAGAAGCTGATATACTATGTCAGCAAGGTACTGTGCGACACCGAAATCAGATACCCCAAAGTGGAGAATCTGGCCTTTTCTCTCGTGGTTTCAGCCAGGAAGTCTAGGCCATATTTCCAAGCTCACACCATCACAGTGTTGACAAATCAGCCCCTCAGTGCTGTCCTCACCAAGCTGATCAAATGGGCCATCGAGCTTTCTGAATTCGACATATGGTACTAGCCGAGGCCCACCATTAAAGCACAAGCCCTCACAGACTTTGTGACGGAGTGCACCTTCAATTGAGCTCTCCCCCGGGCCCTACAAGAGGAACCAAGAGAAGGGCACCCGGTTGGAGATGCTCCCCCTGCTTGGAAGCTTTTTGTGGATGGGTCATCCAATGCCAAAGAAAGCAGCGCTGGCCTTATCCTCCTCACCCCGGACAACTCAACCATCAAATACGCGCTGAGGTTCAACTTCCCAGCACCCAACAATGAAGCCAAGTACGAGGCCTTCCTAGCTAGACTACAACTGGCCAAGGACCTTGGCTCCTCACATGTCAAAGCCTTCAACGACTCTCAGTTGGTGGTGAACCAGGTGAACGGCAAGTACGAAGCCAGAGAGCAAAGCATGTCCAAGTATCTCACTAAAGTCCAAGAGGTAGCCCACCATTTCTAGCGCTTTACCCTGTAGCAAGTCTCGCAAGCTGACAATGCAAGGGCTGATGCCCTATCCAAGCTGGCAAGCTCTTTGAGCACGGTCCTTGGCCGCACAGTTCACGTAGAGAAGCTACCTCAGCCGTCCATTGAAGAGGCTCAAGTACTACTGATAGAGGCCAAGCCATCGTGGATGGACTCCATCATCAACTTCCTTCTGACAAAACAGTTGCTCGATGACAGGAACGAGGCCAGACGACTCCGATGTCAGGCAGCCCACTACACCTTGCTTGAAGAAAAATTGTACAGAAGATCTTTCACCCTGCTGTACCCCTGATGCCTCTGTCCCGAGGAAGGGGAGTACATGCTCAGAGAAATTCATGAAGGCATCTGCGAAAACCACCTCGGTGGTAGGGCCCTTGACCAAAAGACATTGAGATAGGGGTATTTCTAGTCAACACTTCACAAAGACGTAGCTGAGCTCGTGTGAAGATATGATCAGTGCCAGAGGCATGCCTACATATGTCATCAACCTGCGACAACCCTCTCAGCCCTCAGCAACCCCTGGCCCTTTGCTAAATGGGGAATGGACCTCCTCATCGCTTTCCCACAAGCAACGGGGAGCAGGAAGTACCTCATCATCGCCGTTGACTACTTCACCAAGTGGGTCAAGGCCGGGCCCTTAGCCACTACCACAACTCCGACAATTCAAAGCTTCTTCTGGAGAAACACCATCTGTTGCTTCGGCCTCCCTCACATTCTAGTCACCGACAACGGGAAGCAGTTCGATGATGCTAGATTTTGGGAGTGGTGTGCCTCCCTCGGTATCAAACAACAGTACACCTCGAAGGGCTACCCCCAGACAAATGGCCTAGTTGAGGTTACCAATAGAACCATCCTAGATGGACTAAAGACAAGGTTAGACTGAGCTAATGGCTTTTGGGCCGATGAGCTGAACAGTGTACTCTAGGCATATCGAACCACACCTCGGACGGCCACGGGAGAAACTCCCTTCGGCCTGACCTACGGTATGAAAGCAGAAATCCTAGCAGAGATCGGCTAGCCAACACTCCGAGTTGAAGCTTGCAACAAAGCAGAGAACAACGAAGCCCTCAGAGCCAACTTAGATCTGCTGGAAGAAGCCCGGGAGCATGCGCAGATCAGGGTAGTTGCCTACTAGCAATGCGTGGCCTGCTACTACAACTCAAAAGTAAGAAAAAGACACATTCGAGAAGGAGACCTCATCCTTAGAAAGGTCATGGTCCCCAAATCTGGAGTAGGAAAGCTGGGCCCCAACTAGGAAGGCCCCTACAAAGTCAAACACATCCTCGACCCCAAAACCTTTCACTTGGAAAACTTGGATGGAAGACCTGTCCCATAGACGTGGAACTCGGAGAACCTGCGAATGTATTTTCAATAAATGTAACTACCTGTAGCTAAGTGATGAATGAATGAAGCAAAAGTTCCTCTTTGACACAAATGTTGAATGAATGTGTGTCCTAAGTTCTCAAAAATCCTCGCCTTCGCGACCTACCGACATGCGAATCCTCCTTAGAGGGATGAGTGCTTGGAACAGACCGATGCCGAAGACTGTGACTACCCTCGGACGAGCACCTCACTAGAAATATGCTCACCAAGGTGAACGAGGCCCTTCACACCTCATCACCTCCTTGGTGGTTAGTGACCCCCTTTGCACGCCAGGGATGTTGAGGCCCTACATGCCTCATCACCTCCTCAGTGGACGGTGACCCCCTTTGTAGGTGTGACGCCTCGACCTTCCTTGAGAAAACACTTGGTTAGAAACAAGCCAGGTGAGCTGCACCTTGATAGCACCGCTCCACCTCGGCCCTTCATCCTCCCAGGTACCTTAGTGACACACCTCGGCTACGGTGCCAGGTCACTTTGGCCGTGCCTAAGTAAACACTTAAAGGAATTCTGGAAATAGGCGAGCCTCACTTCGGACGTGTGGCCCTGCCTCAACCGTCAGTGCCCTAACTGCTTAAAACGAGCATGCAGCGAACTAACTACGAGCTATGAGCGAACTATATGTGTTTTTGTGTGTTGTGGTCTCGTCGTTCGGAGGGGCAGGGACCTCTCAAACAAAAAAAAAAAAACAGAGAGAGAAAGAAGAAGGAGAAGAACACAACATACAAAAGACACAGAGCATATTCAAAAAAATGACTTCATTCATCGTTGTATTCCTATATTGCCTTTACAAAAAATTTTTGAGGCCTCTTGGGTCGAACACATGTAAATTTACAAAAGCAAAACGAAAAAACCAACAAAAAAGAAAACGAGGGATATCCACGCCTAGGCCTTGCTGCCGGCAGGAAGAGGAATGGACTCATCAATAGCTTGGGCTACGTCATGGGTATCTGGAATCACCTGTAGCCACTCGATGTTGAAGTCCGACATCACCTGCAGGAGCGCCTTCTTCATATCCTCTATCCTATCCAGGTAGGACACCAACGCATACTCTGCAAGCGCATCCTGATACTCATAGGATTTCTTGAATGCCTCCATTGCTTTGGCTTCTGCCTTTGTCACCTATGAC